GCGCGCTTTCCATTGAGTAAGGAATCAAGCTTATGTTTGTATCGATGCAATCTTCCAAAAAACAGATAATAAGTACCTGACTTGCAAACACGAGAGACAGCATGGCACTGTGACTTGGTCATTGTTAAAATGGACGAGATGTACATCATTGCTCTCCGATTAGACCTTGCACTTAAGCGTGACGCATCTTATAGCTGATTATTCAACATAATAATTAGCATAAGTTCGATATCGATAGCGATCGCCTTGGTGAAAGTCCCATTCTCTCCTTTCGAATAGAGCCATATGTTATATAATGTCAAAGTCAGTCTGAAGACATCTACCATTCCCTTACAGACTACTATCCACTGATTCTGTCAGCCATGTTTGGTTATACCACAACACTAACACTGGCAGAAGAGCCGGTCGGGAATTTGATATCTGAGTTGAATAGCTTCTATCTGAAGATGTTCAGAATTCCAAAGCCAATCATTTACAAGAGTCCAATTGTGTGTGATCTATAACTTTAGGCCTTATCAAATGAATTTTGCTCTTTCACACTGACAGAAAAGATGTTGCAATCTCCGACTGTGAATAGCTAGTATCGGTATCGTTCCGCTGAAGAATTGCCTGGGTTGATGTAACTGCATCATCTTATCTGCCTTGCCCATTCAAAACAGGTAGCGGCTTTGTTGCTTACGTCATTTTCATTACTTCTGAAATTCAGTGAGAGTTTTACCAATCGTTTAGTTTTTTCGTGAATAAAAAGTATTTAATTTTAAATTCATGGATATTTTTATAACAAGAGGTGTTAGAAAACTTGCAGTCGGAACCACTGTTACGCTGTTTATCTGCATTTGTTAATAACAGCTGTTAGAAATGTATGACATGGTTTTGCATATAAATTTGTGAGACACTTTGCTTTATGAGTTAAGTATTTTAGGCCTTTTGCAAAATTTTTTTGAACGATTTCTTTGATTATGGCTGAAAATGTGATCTATTTCGTCATTTTAGTAATTGTTTAGTTGCCGTGGCATACGCCTTTGTAGTGTATAAATTAATGAATGTGTATCAGTTAAATTTATGGAAGATGACCATATCATTCAGGTGAAAAAATGAAACAAGTGCATGTTACACCGTAGGCAGATTAAGCAACTCTTTAATCCAGGAGATGAGGGTTTCGAGCCAAACCAGAAATTACTGAGTTACGACTCAGTTTCGTCCGATTGTGGATGTCAACTATTCCTGATCTTGTACTTGGAGATGAAGATATATACGACGGTGTTGTCGGATCAAGTGAAGGGTTGTTGTTAGAAATAATATCAGTGTACAAGAGAAGGGATGCCATCAAGAAGCGTGCTACAATTGCCTTTATCCAACCGATACAGCTTCAATATTATCAGCGGGCGTAGTATGCAAAGATCGGTTTTGAGAAGTCCGGGAAGGAGGCATTGGTGATAATAGAAGTATAATAAAAAGTTGTATAATAGGTCATGAAACCGCCACATGTCTCAAGTGAATGAAATAGGATACGGTACTTCGAGTTTTATCATCAGTTAGCTTCTCATGTTCGGAAGAAGACAGATTTTTAGTTCGAATCTCACAGCTTCTTTTGTATTAAACTTAATTATCGTCATTTTTTTGGATAAAAGTCAGACGGTGTAAAATCTGAAAATTTTTCGCATTGTTATTAAAATGGTACAATTTTAGGATAAAGCCGTCGAAACATATCAGACAGACTACTAGACCAAGCTGAATAGATTATATTGGAGAGGGAGAAATGGGTACATGTTAATCAGCTGTAGTGGTTGTATGCTGCTGGCAGCTGAAAGTGAGATCGTCAGTAGAAGAGATAAAAAGATAATAGATAATTCAATAACTTGCAGCATACCTGATTGTTGTTTCGAGTACAGAAACTGCGTGATATGACGGCCGCCGATTGTTTCCTGTTCATAAAGTAGTCAATAAACCAGCAAATTATGCTTGTAATAATAACATAGAGTCATCTTTCCCATATCTTTCGCTAGAAATAGCTAATAAATAAAAGCTAATAGTCGCTGAAAGTGTTTTGTCGAACTGTTCTTGCTTTCCTGCAGAGACACGCACCTGAGAAATTCCATTATGATATAATTATGATGCATGAGGAAGCTAGAAAATTTTTAAAAAAAATCACTGCAGTTGCT